CCTTCCCCTCCCAAATACCGGCCCCGCGCTCTGCCCCCAAAACCCACCCGCCGCGCCCGCGGCCCCTGTGGCGTGGTGGGCGCCTGGGGCCGCCGTCCTCCAGCAAGTCCCCCTCCTCCTCTGCCCCCAGCGGGCCGGCCGGCGCCCCTGCCGGCGCCTGGTACCCCGGCGCCGACGCGTCCAGCGGCTGCGGGGATTGATCCGGCCGCGTTTTATTGTTCCAGGCTCCATGCGAGGGCGACGTGCGGCCTTGGCTCTCGTTGTGCCGCCCGCTCCGGCGCGGCCCCCGCGCCTCCTGAAACCCCCGAACTCCAAACCCCACCTGCTTCGAAAGCCGGATCTCGATCACGCTCGCGAAGCGCAGGCCGCCGGCCGCGCCTCCCTCATGCTCCCCCTCCTCCTCCCCCTCCTCCTCCTCCTCATCCCCCACGTGATGATCTTGGTGCCCACGGCCGCGCCCGCGCCCGCGCCCACGACCACGGCCGCGCCCGCGGCCGCCGGCGTGGCGGTGCGGGAGCTCGGTCACGGCCACGCTCGTTATGGAAATTGCCTGGTGAAGCCCGGGCACGCGCCGCTTCAGGACCTCGGCTGCGCGAAGGGATGGTGGGTCGAGGCAAAGGTGAGGTGGGCGCTCGGATTGTCCGGCATGGGACGGGGCGCGGCGCCGCGGGCAGACGTTGGAGCTTCGTGAATCGGTTTGAAATGTTTTTCGTTCGGGCTGTGGCGCGGCGCCGCACGGGCGGGCTGCTTGAGTGGGATGGGCGCCCGCTGCTCCGCCGCCGCGCCCGCCCCAAGCCCATCCGGCTGCCCGCCGCTGCCTCCGGGGCGCCCCCGCTGCAGCAGGGGCGACCCGTCTTCTCACCGATCGTGACGGCCTTAGTAATGGCGCGGCCCATGGCGTTGAGCGTCACGCTTTCGTGTCCCTTGGCGCCCAGGCACGCCTCACAGTGGGCGACGCACGCCCTCATGTTGTAGACCGAGGTGATGCGCAGCTGGGCGGGGCGCGCCAAACGGAGTGACCGGAAGGGGGCCGCGGCGCCGCACCCACCGGGAGGGGGAGCGAGGGCGCATGTGAGGTGGGCTGCCCGGGCGGCGGCCGTTGCGCTGCCGGCGCGCGGCGCTGGCGCATCGAACAATGATGCTCAAGACTCCACGGAGTGTGCCTCCCACTGCAAACGGGCGAACGACGAACGAAGGGCGCTCAAGACCATGCGAGGCGCGCGGAAATGAAGCGCGCACGCGGACACACTGGCGCCGCCACGCGGCCCTGAGCCCGCCGCCGCCCACACCTCATTCTCCGGCAATCCGTCCTCCACCTTTATGCCCTCCACAGCCTTCGCCACCTCCTGCGCATCCCCGACTCCGCCCATCGCCGCTGTAAGTGTCTGCGCTGACGCTGCTTGCTGTATCCGCTGCAGTGACGGGCGGGGGCTTGCGTGCGGGCGCCGCAGGGAAGCAGGTAGCAAAGATAAATGAGTGATCGACCTTCCTGAGATGCTTTGGAATCAGGCTCGCAGGTCGGTGATGACGACCCGGCGTGATCACAACCAGCCAGCAACAGCCACGACACTTTAACACAAAGGCGCTTTCACAAGCAGAACGGGCAAATCCAATATATACAACGAATCAAAGCCTTTGGTTTTGGTTGCGTAGAGATCTCCGGCAGTGCTTGCCGGGAGTCGCTCGTCCTGACTCCACGTACTGCATGCGTTATTACAGTCCTGGGATGGTAGTCAGGCGTGGTTTTCAACTGCTAGAAGCTGTTGAGAAGCCCATTTCTCATCCCAACGTGCTACGCCCTGGCCAGGTGTGGCAACTGGCGTGGTTGGTGGCGTCATGGCCAATGCGCTTGTCGGGTCCCCGCGCCGCCGCAGCCGCCGCAGCCCCATTCACAGCAACGAGCCACTTGCGGCGTCCGATTGACAGTAGATGTTGAGGCTGCCGAGGCCCGGGGGCGCCAAAGGAAGGGCGTGTAACATTTGTTGGTAAGTTGAGCGGCAGCCAGCTGAAGCGACGTGTGCCGCGCCAGAGGCCGGCTGCTGGCCAAATGGGCCGTGGGGGGGGGGGCAGGGCAACAGCAAGCGCGCTGTGTTCTGCAGGGAGGCTTAAATGTCGGAGAGCGCCCGCGAGTGCCTGCACGGCTGCTTACAGTGATTATGCATGCCCAGCACGAAGGCAGGGGGCGCTGCAGGCGCGCCGCTGGTGAGCACAGATGCAGCAGCACATGTTGGTGCACACACGCCCGGGCGGTCTGGCGTGGCCCTACACTGCGCCACGCGCATCGCAGAGTGCGGCCGCCACGGGCTGCGCAACCCTGTGCATGCCAGGCTGCGCGCTGCCAGACCCCTGCGTGAGCCATGGAGATCCGCTAAGCGGCGCCTGGCGGGTCTGAGCTGGCACCATGGCTGCAGAATAGCAGGCCTTGCTTGCTCACACTGCGCAGCAAAGTTGCTAACACCGCCCAGGGCCACGGCGCGGCACGCGTGCGACGCACAGCCGCGCGCAGTCGTAGGCTGTCCAGCAGCGCGGCTACCGCGCCATGACTACCCAAGTCCGACGGCAGGCCTGCAGACGGGGCGCCATGGGACGCGCCGAGGGCGGCTGCTCAATGGGCGAACAGGTTCCCTGCGGTCGTGGCAGAGCAGCCCCCGCAGCCAGCTCCCCCTTGTCTTCACCGCAAGCGAGTCCCGTCCACTTGATCTTGCGTCTTTTCCGCAAGTGTCAAATGCACGGGAATCTCAACCCAGTACCTTCCTTCGCCATGCAGCGCGGTATACTTTGTCCGTGGATGCGCCGCCGCCCTCCAGAGTTACTTGGCGATTTATTCAGATGTGTGCATGAGAACGAGCGGCGTCAGTCCTCAGCTGCAGGGCTGCGAAATGTCGTCGCACTACCTGCCGCTGCTTGCACTGCCGTGCCCCTTGATTGTGCTCACAACTGATGGCATTTGGGTACTGGTGTCAGATTTCTCTACGGTATTAATATGTCAATTTAAGCCAACAAAACGTGAGGATTCCCGCATTATAGCTTTGGGCTTCGCTCGGAGCTGCCTGAGAGCGGCTACGTTGCAGCATCTTGTACATGAAAGAGCACCCCTCCATAAAGTCACTGGCAAATTACCTATCGTAGTACTGCAGAGTCCCCGGTGCGCAATTCGACGCGTGCAACCGGGACTCGCCGCCCAGAGCAGGAGACGGATCAAGCCGCTTTTCTCAGACTAAAAGCGGTTTGGGACATGATTGAGGTTATCTGAAGCCATCAAAAGTCGGCAGTGGAGTTTGCGGTCGTGCAAAGACGGAGCACCTGAGGAGCCCCCAGTGTCCTGCCGCACAGACCCACTGATGCGCCTCTGCCCCTCCCCACGCACGCGCAGAGGCATGGGGCCCTCTGCTGTCCCATTCGGTGCCCTGCTGCTACTGTCTCTCCTCCTCAGCGCGTCGCACCCGGGCCACGCGCTCCAGTGAGCCTCTGAGGCGCCAGTGATTGCTAGCCATTTCTCAGTTTGACGTTGCAGTGCTGCACCCCAACGCATCATGTGTGCTGCAGTGCAGGCTGGCGGCCGTGCTGCATGCGTGCGCGCCCCCATGCGTGTGCTTCTTCAAACCAATCACCTGCCACCCCGTCCCCCGCTCTCCTGCCCACGCCACACCGCGCCGCGCCATACCGACGCACGCCCGCAGGGCGAGACCGCAGCAGGCCCTGCTGCCAGACCAGAATGAAGGCGCAATCTGCAGGTCCCTCAGACTCTGCCACCACTCCCGAGGCCTCGCATACACCAGCATCGACGTCTTTGCCGCCCTGGAGCCCCTGTTTGACCGCCTCGCCCTGCGGCCGGTCAACGACTATGTAAGCATCGCCGCAGCCAGCGGCGGCCCGGGCTGCATCCGAGGCGGGTGCTGCTGCAGCGAGCCAGTCGAGGTCCGGCTGTCGCTGCCGGCCCCGGCGGGCGCCGAGGCGGCGCAGCTGCTGGAGCGCGAGGTGGCAGCTTACGTAGTCAAGGAGCTGCCGCGGGCGCTAGGCGGCGCGGCGGCGTGCTTTGGACAGCTGCGGGGCGCGCCGTGCGCGGCGGCGGCGATCGAGATCGCGCCAGCGGCGGAAGTGGCGCCGCGGCGCCGCGCGCTCATGTGAGTCGACATTTGGGGGGCGAATTCAAGCACAATGTAGTCAGGCACAGCGTATTGCTCCTACATAGTTGGGTGTTTGATCTTTCGAGTCAATGATGCCACAATCTCGCCAGCCTGCTATGTGTCCAGTGTGTCCCTTACTGCACTCACCGCTTGGGCACAAGTGCCGGAAGGGAAGCCATTCGACAGCGGTGCAGCTTATCAACGGCCCGTGCACGAACTCCTCACGCACAACAACAACTCCAAATCCTGCTGCAGCGAGTTGGACCCTGCCGCGGGGCTCGCGCCAGGGGAGGTGCCATCAATGCTGGCTGCCAGCCGATCTGATGAATACGGCTTGGAAGGAAGCTACGGCGATTACGGTTACGGCAGCTACGGCTACGGAGGCTATGGCGGTTACTAGACTTGGTTATGCAGCAATTATTGAGAAACATTGGTCGTGACGAGGCACGACTCATCGCGCTCCATGCGGGCGTCGCTCGGTGAAAACCAGCGGGGCTTGCGAGGATGGCAGCCGCTCCCCAAAGCCCCACCGCCTGTCGGGTTGCGCAGCGGATAGGCACAGCCAGGTGGCGCGTGCGGTGGCGCTTGCTGCCAGACCTCTCTCGAGGGCGGCGGCACGCCGCCGCTACTGCGTGGCCACGCATGACGGCCCTCCACCAGGGCATCTGTTGAGGCGCTTACACGGCGCAGCAGGTTCCCAATCGTTTATGAGTGTGATTGTATCAAAAACTACAATGATTGTGATCAGGCGAGAACACCAATCATGATCAACAGCGTGCACACACTGCTTTGCTGTTATCTTACTGCACCAATCAAGGTCGCGCTTTGTCACGCAATGCACCAAGGTTGTGCAATGATCAGTTGGGTTCAATAATGAGACAAGTGAGCCTGTTGAGGGGCTTTGCTTGCTGGCTCGCTGATGGGTAAACTTGCTATGCAGCGAGCCACCAAGGGTGCAGGGGTTTTGAGAGGACGTTTGAGGAGTTTTCAATGGGGCGCAGACTTCACCTGTGTGCACGCGCGTGGTGCATGCGCCAGCTGGTGGGTGCACGCGGTCATGATCAGTCATCACAGTGCAACGAAGTAAAATGGAATGGTGGCCTTGAGCAAACTCCTGCTGCTGTTTGGCAGCAAGTGATTTATTGCATATGTGTGCACACGGATGTGCACATGCACGCACGCGTGCATCGGGACACGGCACATGCATGAAGCGCAGGGGGGGCGGGCGGAGTTGGGACTAGTGCAGAGAGTCGAAAGCGAGGATACAATACACCAGCGGTCGCGATCAACGCTTGCTGGAAGATCTTTCTGTTACAAACGGGCCAATACCGGTATCACAACTCACGAGTGTGGTGTACAGATTTGACGTCAGCCTATTTTGCAAACAAAATTGAAAATAAACAAGCGCTCCGGTCAGGATGCACAGTCTGCGGCCCATTCTTTCAGATCAGTTGAACTTTGGTTTTCAACGGCGATGTTCGCTCCATAGGAGGCTGGAGAAGCCTTTGAGGCAGCATTCTCTTGGCTCTGGTGGCGCCGGAGGTGGCGACGGGCACTCTGGTGGTGGCGGCGGCGGCGGGGGCGGTGGCGGCGACAGTGGCGCGGGTGACGACGGTGAAAGGTGCGTGACGACGACCAACAGCACCTCAACACCGGTTGGCACAGCTCTAGAATCAGCCCTGGATTATCAACCACGCTCCTGCGCTTGTCTCGCAGGAAGGGCCGGGGGGTTTGGCGGCTGGGGCGCGGAGTCGCAGTGGTGAGCGCAGGGGCAGCAGCACGCACAGACATCTCGTTGCCGCCTGCCGGCACGACCTCCCCTCCCAGCATACGCTGCAACCAACAATCACCGCAAGACGCACGCACCACATGCACCACATACACCACATGCACCGCATACACCACATGCGCCGCATGCGGCGCTCATGAAGGTGCATGGCATGCGATCCGCAACGCTCCCCCCTTGCATGCAGGGCCTGGCGGCGCTGGCTGCGGCGGTCGGCGCAGAGGACGCGCGCCTCGCGTCGCAGCTGCCGCGCCACGACACCTCGGGGTGGCGCGTGTCCGTGATAGTGCCGGTGAGTGACATCCCAATCCTATCCAGCATCCAAGTACCGTTCCTTGCCGTGATCACTCCCGGGGAAGGGGGGTGGGGGGGGGGGCAAAAGTGAGGTAGCATCGGTCTGGTGCCATGTGTCCGCTCCGCTGCGTGCTGCTCCTCCCCCCCACCCCACCACCGCGGCCCGCCGAGCTGCCTGCCGGTGCCGTGCGCGAAGGGCAGCCTGGGGCGAGCTCCCACACAATCGCAGCCGCGTGCTTCCCATCACACGGCCTGCCTGACGCTGCATGCCGGGGATTCCATCTAGCTACATGTCTAGTAACAACGAGCGGCCCAACCCTCCATCTGTCGCCGTCAGGTTTTGAACGAGGCCAAGGGCATCCAGGAGGCGATCGCGGCGCTGCAGCAGCTGCAGCCCCCGCCGTTTGAGATCATAGTCGTTGACGGCGGCAGCACCGACAAGTGAGCGAGATCGGCTGCCGTTGTAGCCGGTGTGAGATCTCTGGGAGCACGGCCGTTCACCTTCCAGCTGCGCCTTGTGTCTGAGTTTTGTCTTGCGGTGTGCGCAGCGGCTGCTACTGCGGGCGCTGACGCGGCACACGTGTCCGCAGCCGTGCCGCCCGCACAACCCCCAACCGAAACCCTCTCCCCTGCCCGTCACGCCCACCGCCTGCATCCCCGGCCCCCGTCACCGCAACAGCACGATGCAGCTGGCGCGCCGCAGCGGGGCCCGGGTGCTGCGCAGCCCGCGCCGCGGCCGCGCCGCCCAGATGAACTTCGGAGCGGCGGCGGCACGGGGGGAGATCGTCGCGTTTGTGCACGCGGATTCTAGGACCAGGGGTGATCTGGTGGAAGTGCTGAGGGCAGGATTCAGAGATCCTAAAGTGATGGTTGCCGGGTTCCGCACAAACATAGAAGGTGCGCGTGTGTGCGTGTGTGCGTGTGCTTTGGGTGTGTGCGTGTGTTTTGTGTGTGTGCATGTGTTTTGGGTGTGTGCGTGTGTTTTGGGTGAGTGTGTATACGGTTTATATGTGTGTGTGTTGTGAAGAGGCATACATGCTCAAGGCCGCCATCGCAGGGGGGGGGGGGCTGGGCCGCAGCAGCGGCCGACCACCACCAGCAGCAGCAGCAGCAGGCCGCGGACGCCCCGGGCCCTCCAGCTTGGTGTCCCTTGCGCTTGATGTCGGCCGCAGCTCCCGCGTGCGCATATGCGCACACCTACACCCAGCGTGGACCCGCCAGGCCGGGAGCCAGCGCGCGTCTGCCACCCTCCAACTTCCGCTGAGCCGAACCTCCGGCCGCCCAACTTCCGCCCCCGGCGCGCAGACGGCGGGCGGCGGCTGCGGGCGCTGACCGCCAACAATACTTTGAAGACCTGGTGAGGCGACCCTGGGGGACTTTGGGGGGGGGGGGCGGGGTCATGTCCATTGGGGGACATGAGACCAGCAAGGGCCAACGCAACCGGCTCTTCTTTGACCGGCCACCTTTTGATTGGCTGTCGTTTGACCGGGCGTTGTGTGACTGGCCGCTGTTTGCCTATCTGCCGCGGCTGCCGAGGCGCGCGCTCCCACGGGCGCCCGCCTCGCTTCGCCCACCATGCGGGGCGGCCCGGGCGCTGACCCCTCCCTCCTCACCCGCGGCCTGCTGAGCGACCGCGTCCGCCAGCGAACGGGAATGTATGCGGTGCAGTGACGCAACACAAGACCTCCCGCTCAGAGCACCCATAGACACCCGCACTCCCAAAACACCTTTTCCCCTGGCCCTCAAATACCCCCAACAACCTCCCAAAAGACCCTCCCTTGCCCTCAGACAAGTGGCACACACCGCACCCTCGAAAAGACTGCCCGACTGCTTCCACATATTTCCATATCAATGATAATTTATACATGCACCCACATCATACTCTCCCCTCCCTGACATCACCCCCATGCACCTTCACCCCACCCCCTGTGATCCATATCCCCTGGGAACGGCCCCCTCCCCTGCCCCAAAAGACCCTCTTCCGC